TTTTTTTTTTTTTTTTTTTTTTTTCGAAATACTGTTACTCACTAGAACCCCCCCAACCAAAAATTTGCTTTTTTTTGTTTTTTTTTGTTCGAGGGGGTGGGGCTGGGGTTGCGTCACCGCATGGCGCTTATCGAATCCCCAACCCCCCTTCCCACTGGCCGCCACGTGGCTTCAAAGCCGCGTGTCCGTGCGGACGCGTTCGCGGGGTCAGCGACCTGGCCACGTCTGCGGATTCGGCAGCGCTTGGCCGCCGCCTGTGCAACTATTTGAATGTCGTGAACGCGCGTTCACGTTCAAACGCGCGCGTTCATACCCCCCGGACCCGCGTTCAATCGCGTTCAAACGCACTGCACGCGCGCGCGCGCAAAAAAATTGAACGCGAGCCCGGGGCTACGGGGCTACGGAGTGGTCGCACTCGTTTAACAAACCCCAAAAGTGAAAAAAAAAGCCTCCGCGGAGTACCGCCACCCCCGCCACAAGTACAGCGTCACCCCCCACCATTCTGTGTGCGTAAATGTGTGTGTGTGTGTGTGTGTATGATCCTTCTTTTTTTTTCAGGGGGGTGGGGGAAACCCCCTAACATGGCTCAGACGGCCCATGCAAGCTGTCTGAGGGGTCCTCGCAGCCATGTGGCTCAGACCCCCCCACCCAAATCGAGGAAGGCAGCAAGTATGAGGTAGAGCACGAGCTGGCCGAATTTATGCACACACACATGTTCAGATCTGTGTTTCAGTAGTTATGGGTTGCTCATGATGCTAGGCCGTGGTGGTCTCTGCACGTACAACACGTATTCCTAAAAAAAAAGAAAAGGAGAAAAAGAGAAAAACAAGAAAAAAAAAAAGAAAAAAAAGAATGAATCTTCTGCAAAACATGGAAAATACAGTGTCTTTTGTGCATCTGCTGAGTAGAGGCCCTTAGGGCCACTGCACGTATTCCTAAGAAAACAAAAACAATTTTTCTTTTTTTATTTGTTTTTGTTCTTTCTTGTTTTTCTTTTTTCTCGTTTTTCTTGCTTTTCTTAGGAATACGTGCAGTGGCCCTAAGGGCCTCTACTCAGCAGATGCACAAAAAACACTGTATTTTTCCATGTTCTGCAGAAGATTCATTCTTTTTTTTTTTTTTTTTTTTCTTGTTTTTCTCTTTTTCTCCTTTTCTTTTTTCTTAGGAATACGTGTTGTACGTGGAGAGACCACCACGGCCTAGCATCGTGAGCAACCCATAACTGCTGAAACACAGATCTGAACGTGTGTGTGTGGGCATATCCGGCCAGCTCGTGCTCTACCTCACACTTGCTGCCTGCCTCGATTTGAGTGGGGGGGTCTTAGCCACATGGCTGCGAGGACCCCTAAGACAGCCTGCATGGGCCGTATGAGCCATGTTAGGGGTTTTCCCCCACCCCCCTCGAAAAAAAAAGAAGGATCACACACACACACACACACACACACACACACATTCACACACACACACACACAAATTCACGCACATTCTTTTATTTTTATTTTTTTTACCCTTTCGTCTAGGGCACTGGCCCACATACCCCCTAAGCAGCACCGCTGCTCCCCGCACTGCCCACAGCCTCCCCAAGCACCGCCGCCGCTCCCCCCACTGCCCAAAGGCCTCCCCCACCCCGCACAACCCCCTACGCAAATGCGTCAAACGCGTTTACCCCCGTTCACTGAACACGCGTTCACCACGTTCAAATCCTGAACGCGAAACGCGCGTTCAATGAACGCGCGGTAACATAGGCCGCCGCTAAAGAGGATTCATAGACAGACACAGCGAGAGAGAGAGAGAGAGAGAGAGAGAGAGAGACAGAGACAGAGACAGAGACAGAGTACAGGTAAGTCTCGAACCTGGCAGCTAGCCTGATGGTACGTCCATCTATAGGATGAGCAAAATCGAATGAATCAACCGCTAGAACATGGAAATATACACTGCCACACTTGTTTGTTTGTTTTTTTTTGTATTTCTGTGTGTGTGTGTGTGTGTGTGTGTGTGTGTGTGTGTGTGTGTGTGTGTGTGTATCTGTGTGTGTGTGTATCTGTGTGCGTGCGTGTGTGTGTGTACCTGTGTGTGGTTGTGTGCGTCTGTGCCCTGTCTCTTATACACATCTAGATGTGTATAAGAGAAAGCAGATAGACAGACATACAGGCAGACACTCACAAACAGGAAAAAAAAAAAAAAAAAAGCCTATCTTTGTTTGGGGGTTATCCTTAATTTATTACTATTTTTTTACCCATCTGAAAACCACCCTCCCGTATTTCACCTTTTTTTTTTTCTTAGTTGTTTCTGGCGGGGGACACCATGCGCAGGCGATGCGCGCAGCACGATTTTGGGTGCGTGGCTCCGCCTGCACGTGGTTTAGCCTCTCGCTCCAAGTACGTCTGTTTCCTGCTCGGCTCGACCCCACTGTCCGTGCACGGATCACCGAATTGGAAAAAAACTTTGCTGTGATGAAAGAAGCAGGAAAGGCAGGCGAAGAAGACGAGAGAGAAAGAGGAAGCCAAGAAGTGTGAGGAAGAGGCGAAGCAACATGAAGAAGAAGAGAGGGCCAAACGAGAAAGGAAAGCAATGAAGACGAAGGACAAGATATGCCAGGACGCGGAACACAGAGCCGAGATGAAGAAAGATCTCCAAATTCAGATGGCGATCATGATGCAAAAAATGCAAGAGAACATGGCAAAAAACTGGAAGAACATCGTGCCACTGGGAGGAACCAGTTGCACGCACGGTAGTAACTGTGGCAAGAAGGAGGTCATATATGAGATAGAGGAGGGTTCAGAGTACGATGATAGTGGAGGAGGAAGTGAGACAAGCAGCACTCAGGAAATCGACGAAAGAACGAGGAAGCTCTGTCTCTCGGAGAAGCGGAAACGCGGACCTGAACCGTTTTCTGAAGACAGTCCACTGCTGGAAAGAACTTCAAAATGGACACCGACGCGCGGAGCGTTGAAACCAGTTAAACTAACTCGTCGGATGATGCAAGCGAAGGCGAAGAGCATGAAGACCCGAGGATCCACAAAGAGACGATCGTCGATTAAGACGCAGCTTTCAAATCTGAAGAAGACCCCACCGAAGAAGAAGTCTCTAGCGAATCTGACCCCCTCATCAGAAGGGGCACTGACCCGCCTCCGTTATATGAACGCGGCTATGAAGGAGCTAAAGAATTTGGATGCGACAGAGCTCCAACGCATTTGTAAGGAAGAAGGCATCAACTATGATAAAAAGGTGGATGCGCTCTTCGATATTGCCGAACACCACACGGTGCGAATGTTCGAGACTGAAGTTATGCAGGAAGCAGAAGTCCTCCATATTTCCGAGTCTGCTGACCACGGTAATACAACAAAGCAGCATGCGACTGCTGATGAGTGAAGTGGCATACCTGCTCACAATTGTGGGCAGTGCGATGTAAGTCAATGTCAGTTAATCGCCAGACTGAGAAATTACTTAGGCCTCTGGACATACTTCTGTCGTTATGCGATGCGATACATTGGGCTAGGAAGTACATCAATTTATGGATAAGCCTATATGGCAAGCTATGAATCCCCAGCGGCCGCGAGGTCGCGGTCATGACCGCAGCGGCCTCGCAATGCCGCTGCCCACAGCGGCCGTGGGGAGAGGGGGTTGGGGGTCGGGGTTTCGGATTGGGGTTCCGGAACCCTTGCCCTACCCCCTCGAAAAAAAAAAGTTAAACCACCAGTACCTTTGTCGGTTCGAAAATACTCGGCCTCCGACCGTTCAGGAGGCCTATGAATCCCCCTCGGCGGCGGCCAAGCGTGGCCAAGTCCGTAGCCGCGGCCAGGCCGCCGACCCCGTGGACGTGTCCGCACGGCAGCGCGGCTTTGACGCCACATGGCGGCCAGAGGGGAGAGGGCTAGGGATTCCGGAAGCGCCATGGGGCGGCGCAACCCCGGCCCCACCCCCTCACACAAAAAAAAAAGAAAAAAAAAAACAATTTTTAATTGGGGGGTTTGGGCTGCGGACGAGGAGAAATGAAGGGGAAAAAAAATGAACG